TAAGAACCCCATTTTGTAGATAAGTAAAGTAAGGCACAGAGGGATTAAGCCAAGGTGACATAACTAGTAAGTGGCAGGGCTAGACATAAAACAAGGCAGTTTGGCTCGACAGTCCATGGGGCTGCTTAACCAATAGCCAATGAAGTTAAATGACTTGACTCACTAGCCAGGACCAGAATTAAGATCCCTATTCCTAGTACAATGTTCCTCTATAGTACCACCTGCCTCTATAGCTCATGTGCCAGACGTGAAGTCAAAACAACAGACAGTCAAACACAGGGTGGATTTTCAGAACACACATAAGAAAAAACTCCATTCATTATAAAATTCTTCACAGTATTTGGCTTGACCAGAATAATGTATTGGTGGTTCCACATTCCAAGTGAAACAATCATTTAATGAAACCTTTTTGGAAATTCTGCACATCTCTTGGAGTTAAAGATGGGTCAACCCAATATTGTATTTTGTCACAAGGCAAATACTACTGTGACAACATTCTGGGATACAAAGTGAAAACACCACTATGGTAAAAGAAGCCTACAATTTAACTGCAGACTCCTAAGGCTCCCTATCATAAGCATTTCTACTTTTTTCTGCTTTCCACTGTAATGGGCCATAACTTCATCTTGCTTGTATGTTTTGAACTCTTTTTAAGAAACTTCAGGGAGATGTTGAATTGTTTTGGGGAGAATCATGTGTTTTCACTTCAGTCACTGTTGCCCTGTAACTAGCAGATCTCAGGAGTCCATAGGGAGGAGGCCTGGACATGCAGAATATGGGAGATGATGAGTATTCGAGTAGAGGCTATTGACATTCCAGCATGTGGCCATAGAATTCTCTCAAGAGTCATGGGTATTCCTGGACCCCATTCAGCAAATATTGTACAGGAATGTGATGTTAGAGAACCATAGAAACCTGGTTTTTCTAGGACTTGCTGTCTCTAAGCCAGACCTGATCACCTGTCTGGAGCAAAGGAAAGAAACCCTGGGAAATGAAGAGACACGGCACATCAGCCAAATCTCCAGCCCTTCCTGAGTTATGCAGACAGTAACTGCCACCCTGTTTAAATGTGCATTGGATTATTCCTGTCCTGCATGGAGCTGATGGAGCATTCAGATGAAACCTAATAGTACATGCTGCCATCCTCCAGTGGAATCTGAGGATCTACCCCATCTCCAATAGGAATTGTGGGTATCCATGACTTTCCCTGTGCCACAGTCACAAGGGAACATTTGTAATACTGAAAGATATGCATTCATGGTGAGAACTGTGCATGACAACTGAGAAAACAGAGAGATGGCTCTGGTGTGCATTGAAGAAGTGTTTCTCAGAGCCCTTTGTTAACACAAGAAAAACAGAAACTAATTGAAATAAAATTATAAGGTAGAACCATCACACAAAAAAAGAAACTTCATTCCCAGCCAAGCACAGTGGCTCATGCCTGTAATCCCACCACTTTGGGAGGTGGAGGTGAGAGGACTGCCTGAGTCTAAGGGTTTGAGACCAGCCTGGGCAACTTGGCAAAATCTCATCTCTACAATAAATTTAAAAATTAGCCAGGTATGGTGGTGTGTGCCTGTAGTTCCAGCTACTTGGAAGGCTCAGGCAGAAGGGTTGTCTGAGCCCAGTAGGTCAAGGCTGCGGTGGCCATGAGCATACCACTGCACTCTAGCCTGGGCGACAGAGTGAGACTCCAACTCAAAAAAAAAAAATAAGCAAAGGACTTGAAAGATATTTCACAAAAAAAGATATATGGAGGACCAATAAGCTAATGAAAAAGTTGTCAGCATCATTAGCCAGCAGAGAAATACAAATTTAAACTACAATGAAATATCATGGCACATTTATCAGCAGAAATGTTAAAAACAAGTAACACCAATTATCAGCAAGTTGTGCAACAGCCAGCATTCTCAAACAGCGTTGGTTCAAGTGTAAAACAGAAAAAGGTGTATCAGTTCAAACGAAATGTACCATTTACCCTATGCCTCAGTAATCCCAATCCTACCTAATGGAATTGGCATTGGAATATACAGGTTGTCTTTTTTTTTTTTTTTGGAGTCAGAGTCTCACTGTCACCCAGGCTGGGATGCAGTGGCACACTCAAGGCCACCACAGCCTCAAAATGCTGGACTCTGCCATCGCACTCCAGCCTGGGCAACAGAGTGAGACTCCTATTTAAAAAAGAAACCAGAAAAAAGAACCTTCATTTCCCAGTTTATTCATGAATACATAGATGAGCTGGGGGAAAAAAAATTCTTAAGCCCCATTCTTCACTATAGTTTTTCCCCCATTCACAAATCTGGTGCTTTGAAAAACATCCAGGAAGAAGAAAGGGCTGGGAATCAGGCTAAGTCATAGTAAGTCAGAGTAGTATTTGAGTTTAAGAGTTAAGGTTATTTGTCTCAACATGCAGATGCCATAAATAAAACATGGGAAGGCACAGATGGTGCTTACCCCCAAGCAGACCATGCCCAGGGCAAAGCCAGCAGCTAAAGAGTATGACTCTCTGTCAGTGCAGTATTCCATTTTAGGACCAGGGGGCCTTCCTGAAAAACATAAGCAATACAGTTGAATCTAGCTTCTCAAATTTTCAACTCACAAACATTTTAGAGTTAACTTTCTAGTAAGTTACACAAGAAATGTGGATGAAATAAAACTCCACTCAGAAAGTTCTGACACTATCATAATTGGTTTCCACAGCTGTCAGTGTACCAAAAAACAACAACAAAAAAAGCAATCACTTACATTCTGTTGGAAGTGCTGTTGTCCAACAGAATAAACACCGTGATATTAGGGACCAAAACGGTCAACTTTGAGTTTTAAGTGCAAGTCTCTGTTAGACTTTGCCTGGTAAAGACACAGCAGGATAAGCAGCACCCACATCTGTGATTACGACCACAGGTACCTCAGTGAATGTGACCACTGGAGCTCAGTAATGGGTTGGCCTAATAAATATCCAGGCTAATAACTTGCATAGTAACATTAGTTTTGGAAAACACTACCTGCAGTTGTTTTTAAAATTAGTACGAGATCATTCTGTGCTCACAAAACTACTATAATTTCTCCTTAATTTTTATAATTTACTCTTATTTTTGCTTGGGTTTATTTAGAAATAGGAAATGTATGCCTATGAAGATTCAGCACTATTAATCCTATACCTATTTCAGCCAACAGGACTTCTGCAGTATGTCTGTGAGCTGTCCCTTGATATACGAGGCCAATGCCAACTACTGCAGCCACTTGGACGTTGTGAGGAACATCCAGTTCTGTGGATGTTGGGGGTAAGACAGCAGGAATGTGAATGCTGAGAAGTCGAGTGATTGACATATCCATGGTGCCTAGTTTTGCAGCAGAAACACCAAGCAGCAGTCCAATACTTGTCATTTCATGGCCCTGAGATAGAAAATGAAATGAAACTTGAGTCACTAACACAATAAGCATGTAGTTTAAAATAAAATACTGCCACTTTCAGTAAGTACTTTTATGTTGACAGGCACAGTAAGAGGTACTGAGAATATAGTAATAAACCAAACAAAAATGGTTCCTGCTCTCTAGGACCTAGTGCCCTAATTAAAAAAAAAATTTTTCAAACAAAAAATACGCAAGTACATTATTTGAAAGTAGTATAATGAAAACGTACAAAGTATAATGAAAGAGTACTTTCAAAGGACCTAACTTAGATTAAGAGGGGTTGGAAGATTACTAGTAAAAGAATCATTAAAGATTATGTAAAGAAACTTATAATAAGACTTGAAGGATTAGTATAGACTAGCCAGGAAAACTGGCAAGAAGGTGACACGCAGGTTTAAAAGGTGAGGAAGATTGTTCCAGGTGACAGACCAGCATGCAAAGGGCTCTGAGGTGATTCAGAAATAAACCCCATATTGACAGTCACTGACCAAAAGGGTGCCTAGACAAGTCAATGGGGAAAGAATAGTCTTTTCAACATATTACTGAGACAACTGGAGAGACACACCCAACACAACATAACAAATGTTGGCAGGAATATGGAGCCATTGGGACTCTCATGCATTGCTTGTGGCGTTGTGAAATGGTACAGCCTCTCTGGAAGACATTTTGCCAGCTCCGCCAAAGTAAACGAGTTACCATATGACCCAGCAAGTCCACACCAAAAGAAATGAAAATATATCTATATAAACACATGTACAAGCCGGGCTCGGTGGCTCAGCGTGTAATCCTGTGCCTTTGGAAGGCTGAGGTGAGTGGATTGCCTGAGTCTGA